TAGTCCCAGCAATTGGGAGGCAGAGGCAGGTGGATCTCTGAGTTCGAGGCCGGCCTGGTCTACATAGTGAGTTCCAGATCAGATGGGGCTACAGGGAAACCCTGTCTCAAAAAGACCAAAAAATAAAAAAAAAAAAAAATTTAAGAGCCTTAGGTAGTAAGCAAATGGAAAACAACTAATGGGCTTTTCTGGTTTGTGTGCTGGGGATCAAAACCAGAGCCTTGTGTCTGCTGACCTGCAACTTCAGCCCTCTTGTTACATTTGACAAAGTACTGAGTACACAGTAAACACTTAGCAGATTATAGTTGTGATCATATCTCCCCTGCCAAGTCAGTATCAGCAGATTATAGAGGTAAGCTAAGGAGATAGAAGTATATGATTTAGAAGCTTTTAGTTTGCATACTTGTGGTTTTTTTTTTTTTTCTTAAATATTTTATTTATTATTTTTATTTTATGTGTACTAGTGTATTACCTACATGTATGTGAGTACACCTGTGTCGTGCAATGCCACGGAAGTCAGAAGAGGGCGTCGGAGTCCCCTGGAACTGGAGTTAAGGACAGTTCATAGCTGTCATGTGGGTGCTGGGAATCGAACCTGGGTTCTGTGCAAGAGCAGTCAGTGCTTTTAACCGCTGAGCCGTCTCTCCAGCCCCCCCTCTTTTATTTAATTAGTTTATGTGTATGTGTGTATTGCCTGCATGTAGGTAAGCACACCTGTGTTATGCATAGTTTGAGTACTTGTATGAAAAAAATGGTACCTTTCCTAAGTTAGAACTCTAGGGGAGGAGGTTTTATGGCAAGTAAGCAAACATACAAACCGTGGAATGCTCTTTGGACTGGTGGGATAGAAACTCTCAAAAGGACCGCCAGCCATGGTGGCTCACGTCTTTAATCCCACTTGGGAGGCAGAGGCAGGTGGATCTCTGTGAGTGTGAGGCCAGCCTGGTCTACATAGTAAGTTCCCGGCCAGCTGACAGTGAGTCCAGAAGGTCTGGAGAGAATGAATGAGGTTAGGGCACTACTTGGAGAGCCTCTAGAAGTACTTAAATTTCATCTTCTAGTATATTTCTCATATTATGTTTTTTTCTTAAGATTCTAATTTTTTTGTTAATTTCATTTTTATTTCATGTATATGAGTGTAATGCCTGCATGTAGGTAGGTACACGTACCCGTGTCATACAATGCCCATGGAAGTCAGAAGAGGGCTTTGGATTCCCCTAGAACTGGAGTTAAGGACAGTTTGTAGCTGCCATCTCTCTAGCCTGAAGATTATAATTTTTAAAAATTTTAATTTTTTTTTTTTTTTTTTTTTTTTTGGTCTTTTGAAACAGGGTCTCCCTGTTAGCCCCAGCTGGCCTGGAACTCACTGTGTAGACTAGGCTGGCCTTGAACTCACAGAGATCCGCCTGCCTCTGCCTCCCGAGTGCTGGGATGAAAGGTGTGTGCCACCACACTTGGCTAAGTTTTAATTAATTTTATATTTATGTGTATGAGTTTTGCCTGCATGTATGTAAGTGTACCACATGCGTGTAAACTCAAGGAGGTCAGAAGATGGCCTTGTATCTCCTGATTCTTTGAAATTGGCGGTATGGGTGGTTGTTAGTTGCCATGTGCATACTGAGAGCCAAACACAGATTCTCTGCAAGAGCAGCCAGTGCTCTCAACCACTGAGCCATCCCTCCAGCTCTCTCCCTCTTTTTTCCCTTTGAGACAGAGTCTTACTGTAGCTCTGGCTGGCTGGCCGGCCTGGAATTAATGTAGACCAAGCTGACCTTGAATTCACAGACATCTGCCTGCCTCTGCCTCCCAAGTGCTAGGTCTAAAGGCATGTGCCACCACACTTGGCCTCCATCCTCTATTATCTGTTTTTATTTTATGTGTATGAGTGTTAGGCCTGCATGTGTGTGAGTGCACCTGTGTTATACAATGCCCTTGGGGGACAGAAGAGGACACTGGATTCCCAGAAACTGAAGTTATAGACAGTTGTTAGCTACCATGTGGGTGCTGGGATTCGAACCTGAGTTGTCTGCAGGAACAACCAATGCTCTTAACTGCTGAGCCATCTCTCCAGCCCTGAAAAAAAATTTTTTTAATTATATTTATTTGTGTGTATATGTGTATGGGGACCTGCGTGCCATGGTATACATGTGGTGGTCAGAGGTCAACTTGCTGGAGTTGGTTGTCTCCTACTTTATGGGTCTTGGGGATCAAACTCAAGTTGTCAGGCTTGGCACCAAACTCCTTTAACTGCTGAATCATCTCACTGGCCTTCATGCCCCACTATCCTTTTTTTTTTTTTCAATTTTTATTTATTTTTATTTTATGTGTATGAGTGTTTTGCCTACATATACATAAGTGCACCTGTGCCATGTAATACCCATGGAGACCAGAAGAGGACATTGGAGCTACAGACGGTTGTTAGCTTCCATATCATAGCTGGAAATTGAACCCTGGTCTCTGCAAGAGCATCAGTGCTCTTAACCGCTCAGCTGTCTCTCCAGCTCCTGTTCTAGATGCCTTCCATCTTCTCTTTGTCTCTCCCCAGGTCTTGGTGTACTGGGAAAAGTTTAACTGCCCTGTTTTCACCTCCTTTATTTCCTGTGTCTCACTTTCTTGTCAACCTAGATTGGGTACAGATGACATTGGCTGTGATATGGAGTCACAGTATATAACCTTGGATAAGTCAGAGCTAATGTTTTACAATATTAGGAATTCTTTGTTTAAAAAATCATTCCTTTGATACGTCTGAGAAACTAGGGTGACTCTGTCATTTTCCTCAGTATTCAGGTGCTCTGTTGGTCAGCATGTTCTAGGTGCAAGATGTTGGTCTTTGAAAGGTTCTGTGGCCTCACAGGGTAAAGAATGGCAGAAAGGTGGGGGCAGGGGTGCGAATAAGTCATTCATTTATAAATGGTGAGGCCTCAGATGCCTTTTTCTGACTTTTCTCTGCAAGGACTGAATCAGGGTAAACACTGGAGCCTGGAAAGTTGTAGGTCTAGGCCACACATTCCCACCAGTAGATTTTCATCCTCCCTTTCTGCCAGAGGTGGTCACAGATAGGGACAGTGACTCAGGGCTCTTTGGTTAATACTCTCTCTTGGTCTCTTTTACCAGGACATCAATAGCCTCAACAAACAAATCGCTCAGCTTCAAGACTTTGTGAGGGCCAAGGGCAGCCAGAGCGGCCGACATCTGCAAACCCATTCTAATACCATTGTAGTTTCTTTGCAGGTAGAACCTTAGGAAGGGAGGGAGGGGGGCGAGGAGGGAGAGGAAGCAGCAGAAAGTGTGTTCTTGTAACTGATCCATTCTCTTTGCCTTGTAGTCAAAATTGGCTTCCATGTCCAATGACTTCAAATCAGTTTTAGAAGTGAGGACAGAGGTAAGAGGAATCTGTAAGTGGGATTGGAATATAGGGTGAGGGCCCAAGAGGAAAAGGGAAAAGGACAAGTTGCATAGAATGATGGGGCCAACATGTTCATTATCCGAGGACCTTTGCATTTTTCTCCAACGTTAGAACCTGAAGCAGCAGAGGAACCGTCGGGAGCAGTTCTCCCAGGCACCAGTGTCGGCCTTGCCCCTTGCCCCCAAACACCTGGGTAAGTCACTATATATGGGAAACCCAAGGCGTAAGACTTAGTTATTTTCATTGTTGTGGTGTTTTCTTTTGTTTTTGGTCTTTTTGAGACAGGGTCTCCCTGTAGCCCCAGCTGTCCTGGAACTCACTATGTAGCCCGGGCTGGCCTTGAACTCACAGAGATCCGCCTGCCTCTGCCTCCCGAGTGCTGGGATTAAAGGCATGCGCCACCATGCCCAGCTAGTTTATTTTTATTTTATGGCTGGGTGTGGTGGCGCACGCCTGTGGTCCCAGCACTCAGGCAGAGGCAGGTGGAGCTCTGTGAGTTCAAGGCCAGCCTGGTCTACATAGTGAATCCCACAAGACCCGCCTGGTCTACATAGTGAATCCTACGCCACCTGGGGCTGTAGGGAGACCCTGTTTCAAAAAGACCAAAAAAAAAAATTTTCTTTTTTTTTAAAAAATATTATTTTTATTTTATGTGTATGAGTGTATTGCGTGCAGGTATGTGAGTGCACCCATGTCATGTATTGTTGCGGAGGGCAGAAGAGGACTTGGCATTCCCCTGGATCTGGAGTTAAGGACGGTTCGTAGCCGCCATGTGGGTGCTGGGAATCGAACCCAGGTCCTCTGCAAAAGCAGTCAGTGCTCTAAACCACTGAGCCATCTCTCCAGCCCCTCCCTTTTTTTTTAAATGTATATATTTTGCCTGCATGTATTTAAGTATACCATGTGCATGCAATGAGTGCATAGGCCAGAAGAGGGCATCAGATCCCTTGGAAGTGGATGGTTCTGGGAACCAAACCTGGGCCCACTGCAAGAGCTGCCACCACTGAGCCACCTCTGTTGTGGCATCCTCTAAAGATCTTGTAAAGGCAGGTGTGGTAGGAGAATGGAGGAGCCTGGAAGCTGCTAGGTGTTTAACTCTCAGAGGATAAGCCTGGTTTTAGTGATCTGTGATCCACGCCTGATTCCCTGTGTCCTCTCTTGGAAGTGAATTAAGAGCAATGGCAATACTTGACTTTTTGTGCATTTACTCACATACTCATGTTTGATTTTGACAACTATCCTTTGGGAAAGCAGCTATGATTAGCTCCATTTTGTGGATGAGAAACAGGCTCAGGGGGATTAAATGACATGGTTCAAAACTAGTGTCTGTAGATTTTTTGAACCTTTGGGTTTCTTTTTTTTTAAATTTATTTATTTTTTGGTCTTTTTGAGACAGAGGCTCCCTGTAGCCCCAGCTGGAACTCACTATGTAGACCAGGCTGGCCTTGAACTCACAGAGAGCCTCCTGCCTCTGCCTCCCAAGTGCTGAGATTAAAGGTGTGTGCCACTACGCCCGGCCTGTTTTTATTTTTATTAATTTAATTTTTGAGACAGTCTCATTATGTAGCTCTGGCTGACCTGGAAATTGCTATATTAGATCAGGCTGACCTCCAACTCAAGATCCACCTTCCCCAAGTGCTAGAGTTAAAGGAGTGTGCTACTACACCTGGATGTTTTCTTTGCTTATAGAGCCAGGGTCTCATGTAGCTGAGGATGACTTTGAACTCTGATCTTCCTGCCTCCACCTCTCTAGTCCTAGTATAACTGGCATGTGCCATCATGCCCAGCTTGAACCTACTTTTAACAGTGTGTTATGCCCTTTTTCCTCTCTAGGGGGTGGTCCTGTAGTTTTGGGAGCAGAGTCCTACACCTCCAGGGACGTGGCCATTGACATGACAGACTCTCGGACGAGCCGGCAGCTTCAGCTCCTTGACGAGCAGGTACTGGCTCTGAACTCCAGGGGTCACCTCTTCTGTTGTTCTCTGTGTTCCCCAGAGAGAGTTTGGAATGTGCCATGGTGGACTGGCAAGCTGTGAGGGTCCTAAAGACTTAGGCCCTAACCCTGAAGAAGCTCATGATGCTTTCTTCTTCTCCTGAAGGACTCCTACATCCAGAGTCGGGCAGACACCATGCAGAACATTGAGTCCACAATCGTTGAGCTGGGCTCTATTTTTCAGCAGTTGGCACACATGGTTAAGGAACAGGAGGAAACCATTCAGAGGTAAGACTCTTCAGCCCATACGGTAGAATCTTCTCTTTCTGTGTTGGCATCTTAAATTCCTCAGGGATAACTTAGTGTCCTTCGGAAGAGTAGAGTGAGTCCTTCCTACCCACAGGGCCTAATTCACCTGCTTCCACCCACTCAACAAGTATTTTTGAGTGTGTATTCCCTGTTGGCACATTCCAGGTGCTAGAGATAGAGTGAGGAATAGAACAGTGAAGGCTGTGTTTCATGGAGCTAGTTTTGTAATGTGTGTAGTGGACAGCCATTAAAACAGAACTTACCAGCAAGTAAATTCCTTGTACCATACTAATAAGGCTTTAGAGAATTAGAATAGATGGTGTGTTAAAAAAGTGACTGAAACAAGCCAGGTGGCACACGCCTTTAATCCCAGCACTTGGGAGGCAGAGGCAGGTGGATCTTTGTGAGTTCAAGGCCGGTCTGTGCCACATAGTGATGTCCAGGACAGCTTGGGCTACAGGGAGACCCTGTCTCAAAAAAATTAAAAAAAAAAAAAAAAAAAAAAAATGTGTGGGGCTAAAGACAGAAGCAAAGAAATCAGTGCAGAGGCATCTAGGCAAGAGGTATGATGGCTTAGGGTGAAGGTCATGAATAGTTGTTGGAGTTAGAACTATGAGTGTGTGCGTGTGTGTGTGTGTGTGTACGCACTTACATAATATATATAAATTTCTGAGTGTTTATGTCTATAGGGGTGAGCATGCATACATGTGCTTGTGAAGGTGGAAGCCATAGGTTAACCCTGAATATTATTCCTTAAGCCCCATTCACTTTGTTTTATTTAGACTGGGGTCTCTTACTTGCCTGGAACTCAAGTATTAGACTAGGCTGGCTGGTTATGGAGCCCCAGGAATCTTCCTGAATTCACTTCTCCATTGGATTACAAGCTTATGCCACTGTGCCTGCCATGTGGGTGCTACGAATTGAACCTGGGTCCTCTTCAAGAGAATTCAGAGCTCTTAACCACTGAACCATCTCTCAATCTTTTTTTATTCCAGCTGCTGTTTTTAAATTTTTTTAATTTATTATTTTTATTTTATGTGTATGTATTGCCTGCATGTATGTGAGTGCATCCAATGTTGTGCAATGCCACGGAGGTCAGAAGAGGGCTTCAGATTTCCCTGGAACTGGAGTTAAGGATGGTTCGTAGCTGCCATGTGGGTGCTGGGAATCAAACCTGGGTCTTCTGCAAGAGCAGTCAGTGCTCTTAACCGTTAAGCCATCTCTCCAGCCCCATGCCTGGCTTTTTAATGAGGGGTCTAGGGCTGGAACTCAGGCCCTCATGCTTGGGTGCACTTAACCAACTGAGTGAGCTCCCTAGCCCTGGATTTTTTGTTTTAAAAACAGGCTCTCACTTTGTGGCCCTAGTTGGCCAGGAATTCCTGGAGATCTACCTGCCTGTACCTTCCAAGTATTGGAACTAAAGGTGTGCACCATCACACTGGGCCCTGGATACATTTTTTTTTTAATATAAAAAATATATAT